GTTCAATTTCCAAGTTATCACCTTAGCCCAGAAGGGCTCGTCACCACGCACCTGGATTATTGCAATAACTACCCAGCAGGCTTCCTGATTTAAGTTGGCGGCCTCCTCCCCTCTACTCTGTATTAGCTTTTGAGGAATATTTCTTAAATACTGTAGCTGTCAAGTGCTCATGGAACATTCTCCAGGATAGATCATATCTTGAGTAAAAATCAAGCCCTGGTAAATTTAAGAAAATTGAAATCGTATCAAGTATCTTTTCCAACCACAACACTATGAGACTAGATATCAATTACAGGAAAAAATCTGTAAAAAATACGAACACATGGAGGCTAAACAATACACTACTAAGTAACCAAGAGATCACTGAAGAAATAAAAGAGGAAATCAAAAAATACCTAGAAACAAATGACAATGAAAACACAACGACCCAAAACCTATGAGATGCAGCAAAAACAGTTCTAAGAGGGAAGTTTATAGCAATACAATCCTACCTCAAGAAACATGAAACATCTCAAATAAACAACCTAACCTTACGCCTAAAGCAATTAGAGATAGAAGAACAAAAAACCCCCAAAGTTAGCAGAAGGAAAGAAATCATAAAGATCAGATCAGAAATAAATGAAAAGGAAATGAAGGAAACGATAGCCAAGATCAATAAAATTAAAACCTGGTTCTTTGAGAAGATAAACAAAATGGATAAACCATTAGCCAGATTCATCAAGAAAAAAAGGGAGAAGACTCAAATCAATAGAATTAGAAATGAAAAAGGAGAAGTAACAAATGACACTGCAGAAATACAAAGGATCATGAGAGATTACTACAAGCAACTCTATGCCAATGAAATGGACAACCTGGAAGAAATGGACAAATTCTTAGAAAAGCACAACCTTCCAAGACTGAACCAGGAAGAAATAGAAAATATAAACAAACCAACCATAAGCACTGAACTTGAGACTGTGATAAAAATCTTCTAACAAACAAAAGCCCAGGACCAGATGGCTTCACAGGCGAATTCTACCAAACATTTAGAGAAGAGTTAACACCTATCCTTCTCAAACTCTTCCAAAATATAGCAGAGGGAGGAACACTCCTAAACTCATTCTACAAGGCAACCATCACCCTAATACCAAAACCAGACAAAGATGTCACAAAAAAAGAAAACTACAAGCCAACATCACTGATGAACATAGACGCCAAAATACTAGCAAACAGAATCCAACTGCCTATTAAAAGGATCATACACCATGATCAAGTGGGGTTTATCCCAGGAATGCAAGGATTCTTCAATGTAGGCAAATCGATCAATGTGAAACACCATATTAACAAATTGAAGGAGAAAAACCATATGATCATCTCAATAGATGCAGAAAAAGCTTTTGACAAAATTCAACACCCATTTATGATAAAAACTCTCCAGAAAGTAGGCATAGAGGGAGTTTACCTCAACATAATAAAGGCCACATATGACAAACCCACAGCCAACATTGTTCTCAGTGGTGAAAAACTGAAACCATTTCCACTAAGATCAGGAACAAGACAAGGTTGCCCACTCTCACCACTATTATGCAACATAGTTTTGGAATTTTTAGCCACAGCAGTCAGAGAAGAAAAAGACATAAAAGGAATCCTAACTGGAAAAGAGGTAAAACTGTCACTGTTTGCAGATGACATGATACTACACATACAGAATCCTAAAGATGCTACCAGAAAACTACTAGAGCTAATCAGTGAATTTGGTAAAGTAGCAGGATACAAAATTAATGCACAGAAATCTCTTGCATTCCTATTCACTAAAGATAAAAATCTGAAAGAGAAATTAAGGAAACACTCCCATTTACCACTGCAACAAAAAGAATAAGATACCTAGGAACAAACCTACCTAAAGAGACAAAAGACCTGTATGCAGAAAATTATAAGACACTGATGAAAGAAATTAAAGATGATACTAACAGATGGAGAGATATACCATGTTTTTGGATTGGAAGAATCAATATTGTGAAAATGACTACACTACCCAAAGCAATCTACAGATTCAATGAAATCCCTATCAAACTACCACTGGCATTTTTCACAGAACTAGAACAAAAAATTTTACAATTTGTATGGAAACACAAAAGACCCTGAATAGCCAAAGCAATCTTGAGAAAGAAAAATGGAGCTGGAGGAATCAGGCTCCCTGACTTCAGACTATACTACAAAGCTACAGTAATCATGACAGTACAGTACTGGCACAAACACAGAAATATAGATCAGTGGAACAGGGTAGAAAGCCCAGAGATAACCCACGCACATATGATCACCTTATCTTTGATAAAGGAGGCAAGAGTATACAATGGAGAAAAGACAGCCTCTTCAATAAGTGGTGCTGGGAAAACTGGACAGCTACATGTAAAAGAATGAAATTAGAACACTCCCTAACACTGTACACAAAAATAAACTCAAAATGGATTAGAGACCTAAACGTAAGGCCAGACACTATAAAGCTCTTAGAGGAAAACACAGGCAGAACACGCTGTGACATAAATCACAGCAAGATCCTTTTTGACCTGCCTCCTAGAGAAATGGAAAGAAAAACAAAATTAAACAAATGGGACCTAATGAAACTTAAAAGCTTTTGCACAGCAAAGGAAATCATAAACAAGACGAAAAGACAACCCTCAGAATGGGAGAAAATATTTGCAAACGAAGCAACTGACAAAGGATTAATCCAAAATATACAAGCAGCTCACGTAGCTCAATATCAAAAAAACAAACCACCCAATCCAAAAATGGGCAGAAGACCTAAATAGACATTTCTCCAAAGAAGATATACAGATTGCCAACAAACACATGAAAGGATGCTCAACGTCACTGATCATTAGAGAAATGCAAATCAAAACTACAATGAGGTATCACCTCACACCAGTCAGAATGGCCATCATCAAAAAATCTACAAACAATAAATGCTGGAGAGGGTGTGGAGAAAAGGGAACCCTCTGGCACTGTTGGTGGGAATGTAAACTGATACAGCCACTATGGAGAACTGTATGGAGGTTCCTTAAAAAACTAAAAATAGAACTACCATATGACCCAGCAATCCCACTACTGGGCAAATACCCTGAGAAAATCATAATTCAAAGAGAGTCATGTACCACAATGTTCATTGCAGCTCTATTTACATTAGCCAGGACACGAAAGCAACCTAAGTGTCCACTGACAGATGAATGGCTAAAGAAAATGTGGCACATATGTACAATGGAATATGAGCCATAAAAAGAAACGAAACTGAGTTATTTGTAGTGAGGTGGATGGACCTAGAGTCTGTCATACAGAGTGAAGTAAGTCAGAAAGAGAAAAACAAATACCATACGCTAACACATATATATGGAATCTAAAAAAAAAAGAAAAGGTTCTGAAGAACCTAGGGGCAGGACAGGAATAAAGACGCAGACGTAGAGAATGGACTTGAGGACACGGGGAGGGGGAAGGGTAAGCTGGGACGAAGTGAGAGAGTGGCATGGACATATACACACTACCAAATGTAAAACAGATAGCTAGTGGAAAGCGGCAACATAGCACAGGGAGATCAGCTCAGGGCTTTGTGACCACCTAGAGGGGTGGGATAGGGAGGGTGGGAGGGAGACACAAGAGGGAGGAGATATGGGGATATATGTGTATATATAGCTGATTCACTTCATTACACAGCAGAAACTAACACACCATTGTAAAGCAATTATACTCCAATACAGATGTTTAAAAAAAAAAAATACTGTAGCTGTCCCATGTAACTTCTTGGCTCATAAAACCTGTAATGCTTCACTACAGATTACTGAAAAGGTAGAGGTACTAAAGGTATTAAATATTAGGGGGTCAGATAGGGAATGTAAATGAGTGGAGTAGTCCACGTGAAGATTAAATGGGTAGAAATACTTTTCACTTTCCACAAAGAATCATACTCATCCCATTTTTACTTTCCTACTTTTATTAGATGTTTTACTACAAGGCAACAGTGAAGGAACGATGACAAATGGTGACACTTGACTTTAGTGTGCAGGAGACAACAGAATATGTACAAATTACAGTAAATTAAGAACCCAGGCCATACTGATGCCCTCCCCCTACCAAGTCTAGCCAAGTTTTGCCATGTAAGAATAAGGTCCCAGTGTTGTCAGAATTCTTGATTTTTCAAGAAAAGCCCCAAGTCTGGATTTCTATGTGAAATCATCCAGCTTTAAAATTCTGGCTCAGATTTAAAACAACGACAACAGCAGCAACAAAAACCACTGTGTGGTCCAAACAAAACATATCTCTGGCCTGTGGACTGCCAGATTGAGACCTCTAGTTTGGAGCATTAAGTCCCTATTTGCCTGCCTTGTCTTTTGGTATTTTAACTTCCCTGTATTAACAACAGTCCCCATACGTAGGCAGCATTTTATACTCTGATATGCTTTAGTGTCCGTTTGATTCTCTCAACTGTGAGAGGTAGAAAAGAGATAAGGAAGCAGGCACAGACAGACCAAGTGATTTGTCCAACATCATATGGTTGTCACTAAGCCCAGGTCTCCTGACTCTGAGACCAGCATAAACCTTTGGCCACTTAACTCTCTCCCTGTCCCTCTTATGTGTGCTTTTGCTTCAGTCATGCCCTCATCTAGAATGACTGTCTTCTTTCCTTCTGCCAATCTCATCATCTTTCAAGACCCAGCTTAAGCTCTACTGTCTATATAAAACCTTCCTCAACTAGGTTAAGTGGCCCAGTTTCTTTTTTCTGAATTTTAATTGGTGTTATGGTCAATAACTTACAAACTGGCGCTCATCAAGTCTTGAACCAAATTATTTCACATCATTTCAGATTAACTCATATCCCCAGTTACATTCTAAGCTCTTTGATGATGGGGACATGTCATTCTTCTTTTCTATTCCACACAGTTTTTATGCTGGGACATAAAAATGACTGTTTAATGTTTGCTATCTTAGACAGTCTTTTGAGGAAGAAAGTTATAATAATACCTCTAACTTACCAGCCTGATGTTGTCTTCTGGGCGGAGTAATATGAACATTGCTTGGAGATGCTGTTGGAGGTCACCTGGTGAAATTTACAAAACAAAGGATAATTATTCTCCATTGTAATGTTAACAGAGAGGATTCCTTCTACCCTAATAACTTGTGTAAAAGAAAGTTCTGGTTCACTGAGGGACTCTAATTAGACACAGAAATTGAGTGAGTGTCTTCATATGAATGGTAGACTGGATCTCTATACATTCACTTTTAAGTCTACACTACATTAAAATTTGCTTCGTGTTTGTCCTATGGAAGCTGCACTTGAAACCAGTCAGTTTTGTACCATGATTGATGTTGATGAGAGCGATGGTGAAATGTGTTGGGCAGAGAAAGCACTGGCTGTGCTTTCAGGCCCACTGAAGGTGGAATCAAGGGAATCTTGAAATTGGGATGTATGGTATACAGTGTTAGAATTATCTCTAACTTTTAAAAAGCTAACCATTTTGCCATTCCTATCTCTGTAATTGTGATATTCAGTTGCACTTAATCTAAGAAGAATTTTAGATTCCCCCCTAGAATAATGTCAACAGTTAAAAATGATTTCCACATCAGTAGCTGATATTAAAAAGATATTAAATCCAGCAGATCTCAAGGGATATATATTCTAGTGAACATATTATTAGGTGCTTTAAAATGGCCAATCAGGGACTTCCCTGGTGGCGCAGTGGTTAATAATCTGCCTGCCGGGCTTCCCTGGTGGCGCAGTGGTTGAGAATCTGCCTGCTAATGCAGGGGACACGGGTTCGAGCCCTGGTCTGGGAAGATCCCACATGCCGTGGAGCAACTGGGCCCGTGAGCCACAACTACTGAGCCTGCACGTCTGGAGCCTGTGCTCTGCAACCAGAGAGGCCCCGATAGTGAGAGGCCCGCGCACCGCGATGAAGAGTGGCCCCTGCTTGCCACAACTAGAGAAAGCCCTCGCACAGAAATGAAGACCCAACACAGCCGAAAATAAATAAATAAATAAATGAAAAAGAATCTGCCTGCCAATGCAGGGGACACAGGGTCGAGCCCTGGTCTGGGAAGATCCCACATGCCACAGAGCAACTAAGCCCATGTGCCACAACTACTGAAGCCTGCACACATAGAGCCCGTGCTCCGCAACAAGAGAAGCCACTGCAATGAGAAGCCCTTGAACCGCAACGAAGAGTAGCACCTGCTCGCTGCCAACTAGAGAAAGCCCATGCGCAGCAACAAGGACCCAACACAGCCAAAACTAAAATAAATAAATAATAGCCAATCATTATTTCAATCCTCACTTGCTTTTATACATCCTATAAAACTAAGTTGAAATTACTTTGTATTAAACTATTATAGATTTCCACAATTTCCCTGTTCTGTACTAGAAAATCGGAAGCTTTGGCTAGTAGGAGATAATTAGATAATGTGCTATCATGAACGATAACCATCAGAGAACAAAAAAACTTCATTCCTGACCAACCCTTTTTCAGGAGTCTAAAGTGACTAATGTGCCTGCATAATCATGGATGCCACCGTAACCTGTTCTCACATTGGTCTTGGAATCTACATACATAATTTTCATCCACGTAACTTCACAGCTGTTAATGATGAGATGAAATGCTGATATGTGCAAGAAGTAGAGAGAGACAGGAAGAAAAAAGAAGTACGTTGGCAAACAAGTATGTTTGTCCCTTGTGGCTTGTGGGATCTTAGTTCTTCCACCAGGGACTGAACCCAGGGCCCCTGGCAGTGAAAGTGTGGAGTCCTAGCCACTGGACCACCAGGGAATTCTCCCCTTTCTGTTAAAAATAAAAGAATCAGCGTGGAGAGACAAAGTGTTAGGTAGGTATAAACAATGAAGAATGACTACAGTTACAATTGAGGTAAGCAGCTCAGGCTTTTAAAAAATTAAGTTTCCTTTTGTTCTCTCAGGACAAATAACCTAAAGAAAGAATTTTCAGGATGGAGAACTTCTAGAGGAGAAACATTTCTGGGCAAACAGCTGCCCTAAGACTCCACTCCAAGCACTAGTGGCCCAAATATCTAGCTGGACCTTCTTAGAAGGTCCGACAAAAGTCAGGGAGCCCTACCCCTACAGTAGGGCTTCCTATGCGAGCTGGGTATGTGGAAGTTCAGGTTCGCTAGTGGTGAAAAGTACTGCCATGAGGTATTTCCTCTTGGGAAACTGTCCTTCACAGAGACTAATAGAGGCAATATACCCGTACCATTAAGATCCTTTTCCTACATTTTGTTTTCATATACTTCACTGCGGGTAGCCAAGTTTTAGACTTCAGTTTGATTTTAAAGACTTTTGGTTGTTTCTCTTTAAAATGTTAGCAGACATTCACTTATAATATCACTTTTTGATTACAAAAAAGTACTTGGATATTTTTAATGAAGCCCAGATAAAATTCTAACTCGTTCAAGAAATATGCATAAGAAAGTACCATTAGACAGAGTAAGCCCTTGATCTGCTTGCAATTCTGCCATCATCTTTCAGTTACTGCCGGCTCAGCCAAGGGAGCTCCAGCTTATGTGAAGGTCTGGCTCTGTGAGCAGCATTTATACTCACACTGCCTCATCTGTTCTGGTCTGGATCACAAGTAAAGTCCATTCATCTTGTGTTAAATCTGCTTTTCTTTTTGGTATGGAGAAAGCTAAGTGAACAAGGTCAAGTAGAAACCTGGGTGGCAGCTGAAGAGCCACTGACCCCACTTGCTATTACATGCCACAGAGCAATTTGCCTAACATCTTAGTCAGACACACTGGATTTAAGCCAATATTTTGTCTTCTTTTTACTGTGATAAATATCCACACCAAACAGAAACCCAAAGCTCAGCTGGGTCTACTTCCTCTGTGCATTCAAGTTTTTGTGGCGTTGGGGAGGAGTTCCCCCCTTGACTCTGGTGGTTGGCGTTGAAGAGGAAGGTTTTTAGAAAATGTAGTACAAAGCTAATTTGCCAAAGAGTTTTTTCACCTGCCCCTTTTAAAATTTTTCCATGGCTGGAGAGTTTTGGTAGGAGGATAATACTGTCCAATGAGATGGATTATAATTCTGAGCTGCTACATTTGGAACTAGATGAAGGTCCAAACAAGAAGTAGGGCAGCCACTAAAATAGCTAAGATTACCTGCACTGGAGTTAAACTCACTACTGGCTCCATGGGACACAGTACTTCTGGCTTTCACCTCTGACCTACACACTCAAGGTTTACAGTCTTCTTTCTTCTCTTCTTAGTAGTTCCAATTGCTTCCACTCCTGGACATCACACGTCATCAAAATGGCACATTTTGGACAATAAGCAAACACTCTTTGTATAGCACTGATTGGGATTTCTCTAATTGGTGTCCTCAGGACAACTGACTTTTTTTTTTCCCCCCCAAATGACACAAGTTAGGCTTGCTGTTAGAAGAGAGGCATAAGGCTGATTATCTTCCTTTAAACTGTGGATATCCTATACCTGGAGACCTCTTTCTCTAGACCAACTTTCTTCAATTCTTTCTTAACCTCATCACCACAATGCACCTGACTTTAGAGAAGTCTAACATATGGAAATATTAAATGCGTACACTACTGTTAGTGGGTGTGATACAGAGATTTATAATAAAATAGATAGATATTTGGTCTTTGTCCAGTTCCTGGCACAGAGCTGTTAACATCACTGGAATTTCTTTTTTTTTTTTTTAACATCTTTATTGGAGTATAATTGCTTTACAGTGGTCATTGGAATTTCTTAAGTGATGTGGAGCAAAGAAGGTGTCTTTTGTTCTATTAATGACTTGACTCTATGAAAGCACCTAGGGATGGGGGCTGTTGCCAGGGGAACCAACCGTGTGATTAGAGGGTTGGAACTTCCTTATCTGGGCAGGGGAGAGGGGCTGGAAGTTCAATGGATCACCAATAGCCAGCAATTGAATTAATCATACCAGTGTAATGAACCCTCCACAAAAACCCAAAAGGGCAGGGTTCAGAGTGCTTCCAGATTGGTGAACACATGGAGATTTGGGGAGGGCATACACTGAGAGGGCACAGAAGCTCCGTGCCCCTTCCCACATACCTTGCCCTACGCATCTCTTCCATCTGGCTGATCCTGAGTTATATCCTTTTATAATAAGCCAGTAATCCAATAAGTAAAATGTTTCTCTGAGTTCTGTGAGCTGCTCTAGCAAATTAAACAAACCCAAGGAGGGGGTCATTGGAACTTCCAATCTACAGACAACCCGGACTTGTGACTGGCACCTGAAGTTGGGGGTAAGGGGGGCAGCCTTATACAACTGAGCCCTTAACCTGTGGAATCTGACACTATCTCCAGGTAGATAGTGTCAGAATTGAGGTGAATTGCAGGACACCCAGCTGGTGTCTGAGAATTGCTTGGATGTGTGGGGAAACAAGCCTCATATTGGTACTGGGTGCAGAATATTAGTGGGTTATTTCAAAATCAGAGTATTACACTTATCCCTAAGTGAACATTTATTTGATGATTCCTTGTTTCTATAAAAGTCCTCTGAATTAAATTTCCAGTCTTTTTAGCGTGAACACAATCAAGAAGTAGACTCTGGTATTTAAGAACTGGTATTTTAATATGTGATATCGTAACTCTTGTTAACACAATAGTGCTACTGAATTTATTTATATTAGTAATATGCCATATTAGTCTCCTCATAACATCACTAGAGAGCAGACAGAAAAAAAAAGTCATCTTTGGTTAATCGATTTTGCATAGAGTCTGAAGAAACATCTGAACATCTTTTAGCTGATTACCAAAACCTTAATCGAGATGTCACATAAGACTTCATTAGTGTATTTTTGTGCCTGATTATTTTTCCAACAAAAATTTATTGTTGAACATCTACTTCGTGTATAAGGTATTCTGCTAAGTGCCAGAAATATGGTCCATGAGAGCGAAAGAAAAGTGATTACAGCATAGTACAATGCTTTCTTTCACCATTACAGAACTGTTGAAGAAATGGCGATGAGGTACTCAGTCTTTTAGAACAAAAGGTAAAGAAACCAAGAAAAGGAGTGGCATATGTGGAGCTTTACCTGCATGCTTATTGCGTCTGTGGCTGATTCTTGGTGTGGATGAGCCATTTCCCCGTGGCAGAAAAAGGGCAGCACCTTTGACCGTTAGAAAGCTCTCGCTGATGCTATAAGGAAAAAGTAAAAATAAATAAATAAACAAGTAATTTAAGGAAGAAAATCAAACAGTAAGATGAAGACCGACTTTGGGATTGTTTTCTCTTCCCTTTTCTAAAGTTCCAACCTCATGGGATGAAGTAAAAATAAAATCAAAAGAGCCTCTGATAAACAACAAGGTCCTTCCTACTGTATAGCACAGGGAACTATATTCAATATCCTGTAATAAAGCATGATGGAAAATAATATGAAAATGAATACGTATGTGTGTGTGTATACACACACACACACACACACACACACACACACACGTATAACTGAATCACTTTCCTGTACAACAGAAACTAACACAACATTGTAAATCGACTATACTTAAATTAAAAAAAAAAGAGAGACTCTGGTTACTCACACAGTCTTGTCTACTATAATTTTTCTGAAACAAAACTTACAATATTCTATATACATTACACGGTAGCAGTTAAGAGTGAAGGCTTTGGAAATATAGGGTAAAGGCTCTGGAACCAGACTGCCTGGGTTTGAATCCTAGCTCTACTACTTCCTACTTGAGTGAATTTTAGGGGGCCTAAGTTTCTTTATCTATAAAACAGGGATTAATAAATAAATTGAGGTTGTTGTGAGGAATCAATAAGAATAAGAAGCTTCTTAGAGTGGTGCCCTTAATAAATATTACTTTAACAACTAACAGAGCTAACAGATCTATGGTTATCAATAACTAATAGATCTATGGTTGTCAATAATGGTGTTTCAACAGCATTCTAATCAGACGTGAAATACGATACAATGCTTAGCTACTAATAATGGATCCAAAGTTTGCATAAAAGACTTATATTTAAAATATACACACATCACACTAAAGTGTTACTCAAAATTTTACTTTCACAAACTTGCATTTCCATATGATTGAAAAGGAGTAGTGCACAGGAAGTCTGGTCAACCCATGGAGTTTGCCCTCCATGTTAACATCCTTTATGTGAATGATAGCTCAACAGAGGTGGGGAACTACTGCTCAGCAGAGAGGCTATTCAAAATACAATTACTAGTGGACATCCACAGAAAACAGAAATTGTATCTAAATTATTTCATATCGACAGACTTAGCCTTTCAATGTTATCTACAGAATCTGAAAAGGATAGAACTTCTAAGTCATTAATGGCAAAGTTTAGAAACACATAATGAAGGATTCCAAGATTGCTTGCGAGTACACCATTCAGTGTTAGCTAATGTATTGTAAATTACACTGTGCTCCCTACTCAACATTTCCACTTGGAAAACTAATTGGCATTTCAAATTTACACTGCCAAAACTATTCTCTTGAGTCCCCTGCAAACCTGATCCCTAGCTTCATCCACCCAAGTTGTTTGGTACAAACGTATAACAGTCGTCCTTGGTTTCTCTATTTCCAATAATATATATCTAATCCATCAACAACACCTATGAGATTTACTTTCAAATACATCTTGAATCTGCCCATGTAGCTCCATTACTACTCTGACAATGGTCCAGGGTACCACTGTTTTTCACTTAGACTACCGTTAAAACGTTTTCTTTTATTACAGAAAATTTCAGACATATACAAAGTAGAGGTAATAATACATGAGCCCCCCACATTCTCATACATTTCAGCTTCAATTCATGGGCAATTCTGCTTTTTCTATATCTTTACCCCTTTCGCCCTATCCCTGAAGTGAAACTAACCCCAGACATTATATCAGCAAAAATCCTCTAAACGGGTCTGTCTGCAACTATTTCTGTATCACTACTATCCACTTACCAAACAGCAACCAGAGTGCTTTAAAATATACAGATAAATATCATATAATGTCACTTTCCTGCTTAAAACCCACCAACAGCTTCCCTTTTTATGTATAAATTAAACCTGAAGTCCTTAGCTGGGACCTCAGGGCCCTGTTAACAGCTGATAAGAAGTTATTTCTCTGGTCTTATACCATCTCCCCTTTTGTTCACTATGACCTGGTTGCACTAGCCTTCTTTCTGTTTCTTCTATATTTCAGGCCCCTTCTGAGGGCCTTTGTGCTCTTTGTTTTCTACTTGGGACACTTTTCTCCTGGCCTGTCACTATTTAAGTCACAGCTCCAATATCATCACCTCTCGCCCCATCCCAATCATACTCTATCCTGTTGTCCTGTTTTGTTTCCTTCAGGATATTTATCATAAGCTAAAATTGTATTTATTCACTTGTATACTTGATTGTGGTCATCTCCCTATGATAGAATACAAGCTCCACGAAGAATAAGACTTTATTTTGCTCAGCACTGTTGTATCTTCAACACTGGAAATAGTGCCAAGCACATATTAAGTGCTTGACAGATATTTGATGGGTAAATGAATTCATCCCAGGGGTTTTTTCCCCCCATACTCTTTTATCTGACCCATCCCTGAAACAGGAATTGTAATTTAGGACAAGAAAATAGAAATTCTGTAATCTCACAGGTAAAAAGTAATGATTACAGAATTCAATATATGTGGCAGATTACTGGGCTGTAAAATACAAATGTGTGATGATAAATTAATCGATTAAATGAAATTAAATCATCTCTATAACAGTTGTCAGTCCTTGATTCAATTTTATCGTTTAATCATGTGGCATGAAGCTGATATACCTTTAAGGTAACTTGCCAAATAGACTGGAATATGTCTTCTAAAAACAAACACAAGACTCCACAGCGGCCACTTTACAATTGTGCGTGCTGGCTGCCTTTGTTTTGTTTTGTTTTCATCTTTAAATAAAGCATTGCACTCTTGTGGTCTGTTGCACAAGTCTTGTCTCTTGTTACATTTGTGGTATGCACATGTCACCCTGCTGTGGGTCACTCTGTTTCACTCACATTACAGGAACAACCTAAAACAAAATGTCTGAGCGACAGGATGAGTGGGGTACACCACAGACAGGAAATGACATTCACACTGCTGCCAACACAGCAACTGTCTGTTTTACTAAACGAAAATATTTTAAAAATAAAGGCTAAATAGTCTACCTATCAGCAGGCAAGTTACAGCTATGGGCACTTTGGTTTCCAGCACGCAAAGGGGTCTCTACATCTACTAAAGAAGTATATTTGTTGAGAGCTTATTTCAGTCATTCTTTTGTAAGACAAAAGTAGTTTCTCTTTGACAAACACACCAACTTCCTGGTTTTTAGACTTCTGGAATATTATTCTTAGATACATTTGTGGCTTATGCTTTAAAGCATATTTCTTAAGTGTCTTCTTTAAAATGTATGTAGGGCTTCCCTGGTGGCACAGTGGTTGAGAGTCCGCCTGCAGATATAGGGGACACGGGTTCGTGCCCCGGTCCGGGAGGATCCCACATGCCGCGGAGCGGCTGGGCCCGTGGGCCATGGCCGCTGGGCCTGCGCGTCCGGAGCCTGTGCTCCACAACGGGACAGGCCAAAGCAGTGACAGGCCCGTGTACAGCAAAAAAATAAATAAATAAATAAAATAAAATAAAATAAAATAAAATGTATGTAGTGCTTTCACAAGGGGAGGATTGGGGTGGAGGACAAGGGCCCTTGGTTAACTCAAAGCTACCTGGAAAATTTCTGATTATAAAAGAAAAACCAGGAGTCAAAGTCACAATTGGTATAAGGGAAAAGATGCCGTTCTATTTGAGTCATTTATACAAATCTCAATAAACTTTTCTGATACAACAAAATGCACAGCAGGTCCAGCTGGGCCAGGAGACTGCCCTAGTAGGTGCGATCTAGGCCCCCAGAGAGTCATGGCAGATACACTCTGGATGGTACGATCAATCCTCTTTATTCTGTGGCCCCAGATTATGACTCCCCAGTTATCACAAAAGTGGCATAAACTGTTGATCACAAGGGGACCAGGAATGAAAGTGTAGCTAATTACAAAAAACCCTTTTCATCACTGAAAAAAAGTCAAAGTTCTATAAACGCTATCAAAGATGGGATGGCAACATGGTGGCATGGAAGTGAAAAAATAAAATTCGAAATCACCAGAGTTTAGGAGGATCAATTTCAACTTGAAAATTATATGCTTTATTTGCATATGAAGAAAATAATATGTATATTTAATCACATGTACTTCAGTGTAAGGTAAAGGCTTAGTATATCTTGCTGGAATAGTGAGAGACATTTATGTAAATATTTGTCTTTCTGAAGCATCTGGCTAAAGATTCAATCAACACAGAGCTGGTCTCTAATTTAAAATCTAGAAAGGCAGGTGAAAACTTTTAACATGTTTTCTGAACTGACCAGTTATCTAGAGCCTGGCCCAGGAAGAGGAATGCTCCAGTAAATTCTATGGAGCCATCTGTATGTGATTACAGATGTCCAAGTTAAACACAAACCTCAAAGGACTTAAGAACCCCCATATTCAGGAAAACACAAGATAAAGAACATTCTCCAAATCTAAAGTTGGAGAGTCATTAGCTGCTTGATGAGAAAATGACAAGGATCATCTTTCTAACACAGTGACAGTGACATTCTCCAGTTTTTATCAGAATACGTCTGAAGAACATCTACCCTTCCCTTGCCATAAGATCACTTGCTCAACAAATGGAAAGTCATCCCTAGTTTGATACATGAACTGAGCTAATAACAGCTAACTTGAGTAGATGCCAACTGTATGCCAGGCACTGAGCTAAGCACTTTACCTTATTTCATTTAACCTTCACAACAATCCTATGAAGTAGGCACTATTTTTTACCCCCAGTTTACACATAAGAGACTGAGGGGCTCAGAGGTGGTAAATTATCTGCCCAAGATCATACAGCTAGCTAGCAATCCTCTGAGTAAAGATTCAAACCAAGTTCTGACTTGAAAGCTCATGCTCTGAATCACTCACTCTCTATTATGCTGTTCTAGTTTTATGATATAGTTTATGGAAGATGAAACACAATGCCTTCCCTACAGAACTTTTCAACAGCACAGAATTTAAAAGTAGAGACAGAAGTGAAAGAAAAGGACTGAAATCCATTCAGATCTCAACTCTTATTCCTTTTTTGT